TGCTATCTGAGGGCCAATATATGGAAGAAAGCATGAGATGTAGGCAGAATGGAAGGAGGGGAGGCTCCTGGAGGATCCACACCTTAATAGTTGCAGGGCAACAAGCTGCTTATGTTTGGCAGGCAGCTGAGAGCCTCTGTTGAAGGAAGGATAGAGAGAGAAGGAGCAAAAGACCATCAGTAGAAGCAGGGGTGGAAATAAAGCAGAGCTCAGCACCACCATCTCCCTGGGATCTTTCCCTCTTCTTCCCTTGTTGGGGCTGTGTATGGATAACCATGATTCAGATGTTTTTAATTCTGGATTCCTGCATTTTGCCTATAACACATTCCTTTAACTATCACACTGATTCTCATGCTGCTGGCGCTATGGGCACAGAGCTCTTGGCATTTCTTGGAAAGGAAGAGAATAATTTTCTTTCATCACAAGAGTGTGTTCTGTCTTTTGGACACCACAGACATTCCCCTTAGGAAGCTGCCTGGTCAGACCCTAACCTTTCCAGGTCCAGCACCTGTGGTCTTGCTTTCACACTGACGCTGCCCTGGCCTCAGGATCTGTCCGCTTACTTTTTGCTTCCAGTTATCCCTAGTCCACTACCCTGTAAATTTTCTGTCCTTCCTGATGAAATGAAAAGAGTAGGGATTTTGAAGTTAGACAGACCTGAGTTCACATTCTTACACTATACCCTTTAGCTATCTGCCTTTCAAGTGTGTTGTGGGGATTCAATGAAATAAGAGGTGCCTTGTGACTGGCAGAGTTCACAGCATACAGTAGGCACTCCATAAATGTTATTGCCCTTTCTTCCTCTCTTTTTTCTCTAAGGGGCACTTCTATTTCCAACATCTAGTGTTCACTCTCTGACCTTGACTTTATAATTACCATTCTTTACCCTTCTGTTTGAGCTCTTGCACAATTTCCCTGGCCAACCCACGCTTTCCCATAACTACACCCATAACTGGAGTTTTACAATCTCCCACCTGTCTCTCAGTCAGGATGTCCCATATTCCTCCTCCTCCAAAATGAGGAAATTGTAGTGATGCCATACTTAACAATGTAGTACTAATACAATGGTGGATCCAGTGGTGTGCTGGAGCCAGCTTCTACTGGCTTGTGAGAACCAAATGTTGACTTTTCGGGAATTTTGTAAGCTGGTTGCTAAGCTCAGCCATCATTAAAAATTAAACTATATAAACTTAAAATTAAGTAAGTTATATTAAAAACAAAGTTAAAGGGGCACCTGGGTGGCTCAGTCGTTGGCATCTGCCTTCAGCTCAGGTCATGATCCCAGGGTCCTGGGATCAAGCCCCGCATCGGGCTCCCTGCTCGGCAGGAAGCCTGCTTCTCCCTCTCCCACTCCCCCTGCTTGTGTTCCCTCTCTCGCTGTCTCTCTCTGTCAAATGAATAAATAAAATCTTTAAAAAAATAAAATGAATAAATAAAAACAAAGTTAAAGGCGCCTGGGTGGCTCAGTCGTTAAGCGTCTGCCTTCGGCTCAGATCATGATCCCAGGGTCCTGGGATCAAGCCCCACATGGGGCTCCCTGTTTGGCAGGAAGCCTGCTTCTCCCTCTCCCACTCCCCCTGCCTGTGTTCTGTCTCTCTCTGTCAAATAAATAAGTAAAATGTTCAAAAAAAAAAGTTAAGAAATACTCAAAATTCATCACTTCCAAATTATTTCACTACACTGTATTATTATCCATTCTCTTGAGGTTACTTACACTCATGGTGAGTGTACTAACTATGGTGGAAATACTATACAATGGTGTGCTTAGCTCTTCCCAGCTGCATATTCAGTGATAGCATGTTGGTAGCTTGAAATGGGCCGTGGTGGGAATATTTACACCATGGAAATTGGCAAATGCTACAAATCAGATTTTTTTTTTCAGATCCAGTTGCTAAACATTTACAACATATTCAATGGATCATTTGGAATATGGTCCAGCAATAATCACCAAATATACAAAAGTAGCTAAAGACATAAGGTAAGTTTTGAAAAGATGTTTTTACCCTCAAGATATCCCAGTCCAACTACTTGCAGTTCCCCAGAATGCATCATGTTCTCTGATTCCTTCATATCTTTTCTACTGACCTAAATACTAGGTTAATAATTTAAGCTTAAGTCAAGGGGTGCCTGGATAGCTCAGTCGTTAAGCGTCTGCCTTCGGCTCGGGTCATGATCCCAGGGTCCTGGGATTGAGCCCCACATCGGGCTCCCTGCTCTGCGGGAAGTCTGCTTCTCCCTCTCCCACTCCCCCTGCTTGTGTTCCCTCTCTCACTGTGTCTCTCTCTGTCAAATAAATAAAATCTTTAAAAATAATAATAATAATAATAATTGTTTAAGTCAATGTTCCTCTTCTTAGCATCCATGACATTCTGTGCATGTTTCACTGGCTTCATCACGTTACTATTGTTTGTCCTCCCCCACAAGATGGTATGCTCTCTGAGGGTGGGATTGTGCCTGCCCAAACTTGGTCTTCCCAGGGCCTGTTCATAATAGATACTCAACAAATTTTTTGAATCATTAGCCCGCCAGTAGCAACAATTCTCAAACATTTGAGGGTCTCAGGACCCCTTTATACGCTTAAAAATAATTGAAGGTGCTTAAAAGAGCTTTTGTTTGTGTGGTTTGTATCTACTGATATTTACTATATTCAAAATTAAAACTGAGGACATTTTAAAACACAAGAATACACAAGCACGCATTCGACTTGCCATCAGAGCAATGCTGTCATTACATGTTATGTAGACTTTGGAAAATTCCAATGAGTACTCATGAGAGACAGAGAACGAAAAAGAAAACAATATTTTAGCATTGTTATAAAAATAGGTTTGACTCCACGGACCCTCAGAAAAGATCTCAGAAATCTTCTGGAAGGATCTCAGGGATCCCCTGAAGGGTCTCAGAGTCCCCAACTTACACTTTGAGTACCACTGCCTACTGCCTTATGGTAAATATTCACCTGAACAAACTGATTCAGAAAAAAATACTCTCTGGGGCACCTGGGTGGCTCAGTCGTTAAGCGTCTGCCTTAGGCTCAGGTCATGATCCCAGAGTCCTGCGATCGAGCCCCGCATCAGGCTCCCAGCTCGGCGGGAAGCTGCTTCTCCCCTTCCCACTCCTCCTGTTTGTGTTCCCTCTCTCACTGTGTCTTTCTCTGTCAAATAAATAAATAAAATCTTTTAAAAAAATAAAGTAAAAAAATAAAAATAAGAAAAAAATACTCTGCCCAGATTGGGTGCTGTGGATTTGACAAAAGAGATGATGATTTAGGATGGAGCATAGCAGCTATGGCCCAGTGGGATCTTTGAGAAGAGGTGGAATTGGCAACCATTTGATGTGAATTATTGTTTTGTGGATTAAAAGATGGAATTTTATAAAGCCATAACATGGTGTTAAACACATCAATAAAATATACTTTTTGATAGGACTTCTCTAAGCTACTTTTTGTCATACAGACAATTTGTATTTTTGAGCAACTGTTATGTTGGGATATATTTTGTGACTCCTTACACTACTTTTCCATAATGCCAGTAGCCGCGCTAACTCTAAAATCCTTGAGCTACAAGGACCCTACCCTTCTGTTAGGCTTTTTGACAACAAAAAGAAGGGGCACATGAATGGAGACTCTTGTGACTTTCCTTTGAATTATAAGACTCTTCTGATTGAAACAATCATGTATAATCTGGTCTAATCCACTAATATCTATACATTACTGCAGTAATTTCCTTTAAGAATTTACTGTGTCGGGGCGCCTGGGTGGCTCAGTCGTTAAGCATCTGCCTTCAGCTCAGGTTGTGATCCCAGGGTCCTGGGATCGAGCCCCACATCGGGCTCCCTGCTCCGCAGGAAGCATGCATCTGCCTCTCCCACAGCCCGTGCTTGTGTTCCGTCTCTCACTGTGTCTGTCTGTCAAATAAATAAATAAAATCTTAAAAAAAAAAAAAAAGAATTTACTGTGTCATCCAAAATTGGGACAATAAAAATATTTTTGTTTCCTATATCTACATGATATCCAAAATTATAATTATATTGAATTTTTCTCATGCTAAGAGTAATATTTCTGTATTCAACATTATTTCTAATGACCAATGTCAAGTAAAGAATATGAACCCCATGTTACTCAATTATATTTGAACAAATGTAACCTGATAAATTTATTGAGAAGTGAAGAAGGATGAAATAGGGTAAAGTGGATATATTTAGAATGTTTTAGGAAGCCTACTCTCAATCTCACTATTATATAACAGGGGTCATCTTACTGCCTGCCACAAAGCTTCCCCATCAAGTATTACAAGGGGTCCTCATGTTTTCTTGCATGAATACCCCTTTAAGGATGATTAATGCCACACTTCCAGAGGGAGGTGTATTTATCCTGGGGTATGGATTCGTGTGTGTGTGTGTGTGTGTGTGTGTGTGAGAGAGAGAGAGAGAGAGAGAGAGAGAGAGAGAGAAAGAGACAGGACTGAAGAGGGTAAAATCATCATGGAGTGTGTGCCTCATGATAAGTAATTATTTTTTTCTTTTTCTTTACCCATCTTCCCACCTGCCTCCCCTCTGGTAACCATCAGTTTGTTCTCTATAGTTAAGAGTCTGTTTCTTGGTTTGCCGCTCTCTCTCTCTTTTTTTCCTTTGCTCATTTGTTTTGTTTCTTAAATTCCACATATGAGTGAGATCATGTGGTGTTTGTCCTTCTCTGACTGACTTCTGTCGCTTAGCATTGTACTCTCTAACTCCATCCATGTCATTGCAAATGGCAAGATCCCATTCTTTTTATGGCTGAATAATGCTCCATTGTGTGTATATACGACATCTTCTTTATCCATTCATCTTTTGATAGACACTTGGGTTGCTTCCATAGTTTAGCTATTGTAAGTAGGCTGCAATAGATATAGGGGTGCATATATGCCTTCGAATTACTGTTTTTGTATTTTTTGCATAAATACCCAGTAGTGCAATTCCTGGATCATAGGTTAGTTCTATTTTTAACTTTTTGAGGTGATAAGTAATTTAAAATATTTTTATTAAAATAAAGCACAAACATTATCACATAAAATGAAGTTATAATAATTTTTCACATCAAATATGGAATTCAAAAATATGTCTCCTTCATCTGTTTCCCCCAAAACACATCCCACTTGACAGAAATTAACAGAGAGCCTCAAGTCAGCAGTCAAATACTGAAGAAGAGGACTTAGAAAATCATAAAACTTTGAAAGTCTCAGAATCAAGAGATAAAGATTGACATGACTTTATTTATCCAAAGAAAAACCCTTCTGGGGGTGCCTGGGTGGCTCAGTTGGTTAAGCGACTGCCTTCGGCTCAGGTCATGATCCTGGAGTCCCTGGATCGAGTCCCGCATCGGGCTCCCTGCTTGGCAGGGAGTCTGCTTCGCCCTCTGACCCTATCCCCTCTCATGTGTTCTTTCTCTCTCATTCTCTCTCTCTCAAATAAATAAAATCTTAAAAAAAAAAAAAAACCCTTCTGGTAATGGAAGAAACAGAATACCAGTTTAGAGATATTATAAGAAAGTGTGAAACGTGTTGGGAAATTTTTTTTTTAGATAAAGGAATTGTTAGTTAGGATTCATTCATTCATTCATTCATTCAACAAATATTCACTAAACCCCTACTATGTGCCAGGTCTTGTTCTATCCAATGAGGACCCAGCAGTAAACTCTTCCACTCTCACGGAGTTTACATTCTAATGGAGGAGACAGACAATAAACGAACAAATAAATGTGTAACATAATGACAGGTATGAAAAGGGCCATAGCAGAAGTAAAGCAGGATGGTGTGACGGAGGTTGTTGGGAAGCTGCCAGTTTGACTGGGGTGGTCAAGGAAGGCCTGTGTGAAGAAGTAAAGTGAGAGATAGCCACATGTGAGAGAAGACTGTACCGGAGAGAGGGTGCTGTAAAATGCAAGGTGCGTGGAGTGGAACCTTTCCTGGCCTGCTGGGCGATCGATGTGGTTGATGTGACCAGAACAGAGTGAACAAGGGAAGAGTGAGAAGAGATAAGTTGAAGAGGTAGCAGGCTCCTTGTATGTCATGGAGGGATTTGGGATTTTATTCTAAGTATGGTGGGAAGCCAGTGGAGGATTTTTAATGGGCCACTGACATGATGTGATTCAGGGAATTCTTAAGGACAGACTGAGGACTTTCTAAATGGCTATTGCATTATCCTGGGATTTTCACGATACTACAGGAAGTTGTGGGATCTTTTTAATACAAGATACATCAAAAGACAAGACAGAAATTGGGACAGGAAAGAGAAGTTTTTCTCTCTTCGGCAGCTTAAGAATTGGCCCTATAATAGGAATCGTCAGGTGAACTATGCTATAAACTCAATGACCTTTCAGACCCACCTTCTATAACTCTGAGAGTACCAGGTAATCAAGTGAGAAATAGCATACCGCTCATAGTAGACATTTTAAAATTCCTATTCTGATTTTAATAAAAATATCTGTTCATTGTGAGAAATTTGGAAAGTAGAGAAGAGCAGAAAGAAGAAAGTAAAACCACTCACAATCACATCACCCAGAAAAAAAAGCACCATCAAAATGTGCACGTTTCTTCAACACATTACACAAAATGAGATAGGATAATATTTTTATAAGTGGTGAGTTCTTTCCCTTCCATGTTAAATACAGTAGAACCAATATGATGGTCAGTCTGGATGGCTGTATTAGAGGTGAAACAGTGGTAGGACAATATTTGCCTGGTTATCCCCGTGACCAGAGCCTTGGAATGACTCTCAAGATGGACGACGACACAACTGTCTCTCCTAGCAGAGCCTGAACAATTGAGACGCGCTCCTGAGGGATCATTTCAGACCCCATCCCTGTTCTTCAGAGCTCCTTCTCAGGCATGAGTCACTGTCACATCTTCTCTCAGGTGAGTTAGTTCTGAATGTGAGGAAAGTAGTGTTATCACAGGGATGAAGGAGTAAGCCAGCCGGATGCAGGTAACTACAGTCTGAGGAGTAGCTGAAGGTCAGCTTGGTTCAGCCTAACAGATAAAAGTCCTCTGTTCCTTTTAGTTCTTGATGTCCTTACCCTGCCCAAGCCTTCAATTCCCTGGAGACAGAACGAAAGGAAGTCAGATTATTTCATCTCAAAAGAAAAAAGAAGTTGTTCTCTCCCATGTTCCAATTCGTAGAGCCATGTCTGGGAACTAGGGTGAGGAGAGTGAGGCATTCACCTTGGGCTCATAACATAAGGGGATGCCCAAAACTTCTTAATGATGGTCAATAATATTTTAACACAGTAATTTTTTTAAAGATTTTATTTATTTATTTGACAGAGAGAGAGAGAGAGCACAAGCAGGGGAAGTGGCAGGCAGAGGGAGAAGCAGACTCCCCGCCGAGCAGGGAACCCAAAGCGGGGCTCAATCCCAGGACCCTGAGATCATGACCTGCGCCAAAGGCAGATGCCTAACCGACTGAGCCACCCAGGCACCCATATTTTAACACAGTATTTTGAAAAACAAAAATTAATGTAAAGCAATCTATCATTTAAAAAGATGTCAAAGTTTAGAGGTGCCTGGGTGGCTCAGTTGGTTAAGAGACTGCCTTGGGCTCAGGTCATGATCCTGGAGTCCCAGGATCAAGTTCCTCATTGTGCTCCCTGCTCAGCGGGGGGCCTGCTTCTCCCTCTGACCCTCCCCCCCCCCTCGTGCTCTCTCTCTCATTCTCTCTCTCTCAAATAAATAAATAAAATCTTTTTAAAAATAAATAAATAAAAAATAAAAAGATGTCGAAGTTTAAAATAAAGACAGGATCAGCATTACCAATTTTCCTTTTGCCTCAGGCTCCCATCAAGTTTGGCAGGGCATTGTCACTGATCTTACACAAATACACCCCCCCCCCCATACCACCAATGACACTGATATTGGACATTTACCTAAATATTCAAAATAAAATAGACATACCAAGGGCAAATAGACTTACAGACACTAAACACCTAAAATGATCAGTTGAGGGGAGAAACACTTCTATTCTAAGCCCCTCTTAGATTAAATTTGCCTCAGAGCAGGGTGCCTGGGTGGCTCAGTTGGTTAAGCGACTGCCTTCGGCTCAGGTCATGATCCTGGAGTCCCGGGATCAAGTCCCGCATCGGGCTCCCTGCTTGGCAGGGAGTCTGCTTCTCCCTCTGACCCTCCTCCCTCTCATGCTCTCTGTATCTCATTCTCTGTGTCTCAAATAAATAAATAAAATCTTTAAAAAAAAAAATTTGCCTCAGAGCAGCTAATTTTGTAACCAAGTTCTGACGCAACAATTTGCCCTGATGCTAACTATTGATCAATCATTACTAGTTAGTGCCCAATAATCCATAAGTCACTGAGAGTCAAATAATGCAATTGTGAAGGTCAGGGGGTTTAAACACAGCCTTTCTACTTGGTGAGCAACCAATATATCTACTGATGGATCTTAACTCCAACCCAGACTCTTGCTATCAGAGGCTCACTTAGTGCTTTTACAGCCCTTGATCTACCCAGAGTCGTGAATTCTTTCCCTATGAATAATTGTTCATTGTCAAGGATTCTGTGTAATATCACCCAAATCTCCCTTCATTAGCTGAAGGATTAATTCCCTCCAGCTCTTGGGACTTAGTTGTCTGACATTACTCAGCTGTCAATTCCTTTCAGAATTGCCATGGCAGAAGAAAGCCACCTTACCCACAGTCACACTCCCAGCTGGGAGCAGCCTACCTCCGAAGACTGGCTGAGGCAGGGGTGAAAAAAAAACCAGTGCCCTCACCCCAGTTCAGGACAACTCCAAAAGGCTATACCAGCTTCCACACTCTTAGCAGTGTCAGCTGAGGCCTTCTCCCTCTGCCCAACCCTGCTTATTTCTCTTCCCCCTTCTGTTGTTGATCCTGAGAACATTCCTAAATAAATTTCCTACATGCAAATCTCCATCTGGGAGTTGGCTTTCCAATGAACCCAACCTGCTCCACTTACGTGACTTCCTAACATTATGCTGTCTTAGTTACATAGAGGTGGAACACTTGCTATACAAGGAAACAAAAGTGATTCAGACACTAAGTTCTGCTAATCATCGACATGAAAATTATTGGCACCCTATATTGGGATATCAATAAAGACATCCCAATATTTTCTCAAGTCTCACCTTTTTTTTCCCTTTTATTTAAGACTTTATTTACTTATTTTTGCACACACGCTCACACAAGAGAAAGAGAGTGAGCATGAGTGGGGGAGGGAGGGAGGGGAGGGAGAGGGAGAAGCAGACTCCCACTGAGCAGGGAGCCCGCTGGGGGACGGGATCCCAGGACCCTGGATCCCAGGACTCTGGGATCATGACCCGAGCCGAAGGCAGACGCTTAACTGACTGAGCCACCCAGGTGCCCTGAAGTCTCACCTTTAATGCTACCATATCCATATGTTTATTCCAGATGACTCTTTTAAATCTTTGCAAAGGCCTAGGAGTTCAAGGTTCAAGAGACCAAAGAAGATTTTTAAATGAATTTTATCTGAGTTGAGGTTCTTTCAGACTCAACTTCATGGTGTTCAGATCTATATTTATGATCTTCTCCTCCCCTTATAATTTAATAATCAAAGTAGAAATTAACGTGGTGACTAGGGTGGAGAATAGAAGTATAAACCACTTATTCCAACTTGAATCAGTTTAAATGGAGATGTCTTCAACTTAATCAGCCTTTTTCTGGTTCTCTCTCTAAGAGTTGTTGGCCGCTTCTGCTGCTGTTGTTCCTACTGGGAGGGCTAAAAGGAGCCCAGAGGAGGTGATGCAGAGAAAGTAGGATCTGGGTCAGAAGAGGGTTCTATCCAACCTAGCAGAACATGGCATAGGTGGGTTAGAGAACCAGAGCCATTACCCGGAAGCACTAAGTCTATAGCCAGGCATCAATCCAGAGGCAGATAAGAAAGAAAACAAGAGGGGGCGCCTGGGTGGCTCAGTCATTCAGCGTCTGCTTAGGCTCAGATCATGATCCCAGGGTCCTGGGATCAAGCCCCGCATCAGGCTCCCTGCTCAGCGGGAAGCCTGCTTCTCCCTCCCACTCCCCCTGCTTGTGTTCCCTCTCTCGCTGTGTCTGTCAAATAAATAAAACAAAATTAAAAGAAAAAAAAAAGAAAGAAGGCAAGAGAATGAGGAGCCAGGCTGATCCTTGAAAAAACACTGAACACAATCATGTATCTGGCACAATTTAAGGCGTGTGGGTCAAGTGAAAGGTAAACGGGTTCTGGAGCTTCCTTGGTCAGGTTGCCTGGTGCATACGGCAGGGATCATCAATGTGGCAATTTCAAATCTGCCCTGCACGATCTCTCAGTCTTCATCCCCTTTTCCCTGAACCCATCTCCTCAAAATGTCACCCACTGAAAATGACAGTGGGGACTAGCAGGTGAAGCATGTGATAGCAAAGAGAGGGTCCCAAGACCCCTCAAATGTCTAACCCTACCACACATTCATTCATTCTTCACACACTGTTTTCCCACACCAAAAGAAGCAACCAGCCCCCCACACACCACATTCTAGGGCATCCTATGATCCCATGACCACAGAACCCTCCTGCCACAGGTATGTGCAATGTACCAGAGAACAGCTTATGGGACAAACCATTGCTCTCCCTCAGCTGATGGAGTGGAAGCATCATGACAGTTCAACCTACAATGGGGCTGGTGGGTTGAGATAAAAATGGAAAGCTACTCAGTCCGGATTATCCTCTTTTGCAGCGTCCCTGATGAGATCAGGGCTGGAGAAGCAAGGGTGTGGCTCACCCAGAATGCAGAACATAGGGCTCCTGGGCCAAGATGGTGACATAGAGTTATAGGTCAGTTTGTTGTTGCTGTCATTGTTTTTCTTTTTTTTTTTTTAAAGATTTTATTTATTTATTTGAGACAGAGAGAATGAGAGAGAGAGAGCACATGAGAGGGGGGAGTGTCAGAGGGAGAAGCAGGCTCCCCGCCGAGCAGGGAGCCCGATGCGGGACTCGATCCCGGGACTCCAGGATCATGACCTGAGCCAAAGGCAGTCGCTTAACCAACTGAGCCACCCAGGCGCCCTGTCATTGTTTTTCAATTGCGTCAGGTTAGGAAAGGTACTTCTAATCCTAATTTTGAGATGCCACGGATGAACCCCAAATACCTTAAGGTTGTCATTAAAAACTTTCAAAATAAAATTTCTCTTACTTTTCTTCAATTTAAAAACACCTCTCAAAAAAAAAAATAAGTAAAAATAAATAAAAACACCTCTCTAGACTACATGAGTTTTACAAAAGGAAGCCAAAATATGCCAGTACCCGCAATTCCTTCCATATTACTGTGCCTATATTCCTGGATTCCCAAAAGATTAGGAATCACTGGCCTAAGGTTTCCAAAGTCAAGGTAGATCCCTTTCCCAAGTGACAGGCACAGACCAAACACTCTATCACACCCTATCTAAAGAGAATGGTAAACTTAAAAAAAAAAAAATTTCCTAACATGCTCCGTGACCTTGAGCAACAGCTTTCCCCTCCCTGGAGCTCAGTGTTCTACCTTAAATCCAGAAGACTGTGCTCTCTCACACCCAGCCCCCAAATTATCTGACCAGACACTTGCCAAACCCCGCCCCAAACTACCTGGTGATCTTACTACTTCTGAGTCTGACTCCTCCCAGTGACTCCTTCCCTTTCTATCCCTTTGTTAAGTAGCTTCCCCTCTAATGGCTTTTGCTCTGGAAACAGCACCTCCGAACTCCTGCCCGAGACAGCACTCCCCGGCATGAGGGCTGCCCTGCTCCCCGTGGCCAGGGTAACAAACCTTTGCCTTAGCTGCTTGCTTCTGCTCTCCTGGGTAGGCCGAGGTGCGGTAGCTAAGGAGCTGAAGTTGGTGACGTTGGTGAGTAGGCTTTTCTCATTGTTTTTCCCTTAAAACTGTTACCAGCAGGGTCTGATACCCAAGTATCAGGTTTCACTTTACCCCTACCGCTGTCTCCCAGAGACCAAACTCAGAAAGTGAATCATCAAGTTTCGCAAGTTCCTCCTAACGAATACTTAACGTGTCCTGACAAAAAGTGTTTGCTTTGGTTATTTGTGCCTTTGCTGCTATTATTTATTTATTCACTTACCTCACAGCTGCCTTGAGTGCATTTCCTTCTGATAGCCACACGATGCTGCGGGGGAAGCCTCAGCTAGCCACGTTAGCACCAGGAGCTAACCAGGCTTCATTCAGTGTAATGATTATTTAAAAACAGTCATCTTCTGCATGAAGTAGCCCCTTCCCCTTTTCTTTATCAGGAAATCGGAAACTATATTTGTAAACAGATTTTGAAGCATAAAAGTGAAACTAAATTCGAGATTTCGAGGAGGACTTCCTGATATGTAGATTTGGTTGATCATTAAAATAACGTTTTCTCCACCCGGGGCACGTGTGACAAGTTATGGGAAAAGAGGGGTGGCTGGTGCGAGAGGTTAAGGAAAGAAAATATACTGTTGACGTTGCCTTCAAAATAGGTAGGAAGGGGGTTTGCCAAGTGAAGGGGATTTATTACTTTATCTGTATGAGTTCTGGGATTAATCCCTCGGTTTCTCTGTCTGTGATTTTCTCTGTTTCTCTACTTCTCTTGAGCTGTTTCACTCAGTCTCCTCCGCCTCTGACCCTCTCTTTGTCTTTCACACCCGCTCTCTCAATCTCTTTCTCTTCCTCACCTTTTTTTATTTGATAGTCTGAAAATATGCTGACAAATAAGTAAATTTTCTTACTGTAAGAATACTCAATTTATTTCTATAATTTGCAGGGAGGTCATCTTTTACCTAAAAATGAAACATGAAGTTCCTATTTCCTCAGCTTAGTGAATTCAGAAGTCCTTTCTTTCCCTTCTACAGAAACAAATTTCTGACCATATGATTATGCAAATTATCTTTACTAGGTCCTAAGTCAACACATGAGAGAGAATCAGAGAAACATATCATCAATTTATTTACAAATGATTTACCAGCTGTCACACTTCGGTGCTGAAAAAAAAAAATGTGTCATATCATGTACCTTCTGTAGAGAAATCCGTGCAAGTTGGACTTTTACTTATATTCATGGGTTCCTGGCCAACACGTGCATTAAGCAAGTGTGGGGACGCCGCGGAAATGGCACTGTCAACACTGTCAGCCTGTGGCAAGTTGGTTGAGAGGTAATCCTCTCTGAGATACTACCATGAACTTGCAGTTAACCGCATGTGGTCGATTCACTCCCTGTTTTACTCCAGCGCAGGCTCACTTCCCTCGACTACCAAACTGTTGTGGGCTTCCTTTCTCCCCCTTCATGCTCAGTTACCATGTGTTCAGGGACTACAAGTTAATTCTTCCCTAAGAAAAACCTGACAGGGGTGCCTGGGTGGCTCAGCCGGTTAAACATCTGCCTTCGGCTCAGGTCATGATCCTGGAGTCTTGGGATCGAGCCCCGCATGGGGCTCCCTGCTTATCGGGGAGCCTGCTTCTCCCTCTGCCTGCCACTCCCCCTGCTTGCTTTCTCTCTCTGACAAATAAATAAATAATATCTTTTAAAAAAAAGAAAAGAAAACCTTACAAAGATAGCTCTCCTGGAGCTAAAAGGAATAAATCACACAAGGCTAATGTTAATTTTTCCTACGAAGGCTTTCTTCCATTAATGGTAGATGAAGGGCGACTTAATACAAATTTCTTGGCCCTTACAAAACAATATCTAAGGACTTAAGCAATGAGATACTACTTTCTTCTTTTTATTGATTATGGAGAATATATGACTATAAATGGTTAAATTATATGCCCAGGCAAATCCTTAGAAAATCATTAGAACCGGAATAAAAGAAAGGTGCCTCTGCTCAAAGTGGTAACCTTTGTAACAATAACCAATCATTACTCAATGCTTATTATATGCCAGGCATTGTTCTGAGAGTTCGATATGGAAGATGTCACATTATCCTCCCAACAACCCTGTAAAGTAGGGTTTCTAGGAAAACACAGGATACCCAGTTACATTTGAATTTCGGGTAAACAAATAATTTTATAGTATAAAGTATGTTTCGTGCAATATTTGGGCATCCTGTAGTTTGGTTTGCTACATCTGGCAACTGTTCTATAAAGTTTTATAAAAAACCTTACTATCTTGGGCGCCTGGGTGGCTCAGATGGTTAAGCATCTGCCTTCAGCTCGGGTCATGATCCCAGGGTCCTGGGATCAAGCCCCGCATCGGGCTCCCTGCTCAGCGGGGAGCCTGCTTCTCCCTCTGCCTCTCTCTGTCTCTTATGAATAAATAAATAAAATCTTAAAAAAAAAAAAGCTTACTATCTCTATTTTATAGATAAAGAAATTGAGACACAAAGAGGTTAAACAACTTGGCCATAGTTACACGGTAACTATGGTGTAGTCAGGATTTGAATCCAGGCTGTACGATCGAGGAGGCTATGCCCCTAATCACTACACATATTCCATTCCTGCTGTGTGCATTTAAGCCAGCATATGGAGCTGAGATCTCCCCCTGGAGGTTAGGTGTACAGACTTAACACATCATCAGTAGGTAGTTTCCTCACTGTTTCTCTGTGATCCAAGAATAATAAATCTTTCCCACTTCTGTAAAGCTGTTCTTGGCAGAAAGAGGAGGAAACTGTCCTTGGTTCTTGTTCTGTCTCATGAACAGAGTTATCACACAATCTTTTAAAACAGGTTTATCAACATGTGTCCCACGGGATACTAGTTTGACAAGTTGTTAACAGGAGTTGCTTGGCTAAAAAAGTGGGTTTCAATAGTCAAATCCATTTTGGGAACAGAACAAGGGTTACACTGTATTTCAGGTCTCTAAAGGGCAAGACTCTTCAGTCTTTAATATTCTAATATGTGTGGGCACCTGGGTGGCTCAGTTGGTTAAGTGTCTGCCTTTGGCTCAGGTCATGATCCCGGGGTCCTGGGATCGAGCCCCGCATCGGGCTCCCTGCTCAGTGGGGAGTCTGCTTCTCCCTCTCCCTCTGCCCCTCTGTTCATGCTCTCTCTCTCTCTCACTCTCTCGCTCTCACTCAAATAAATAAATAAAATCTTTAAAAAAATAATAATATTTTAATATGTGCTGTAGCTTTAAAGGAAAGGATCTAGTAGTAAACTATATTTCCTAAACTTTGACCACAGAATCCACCTTCTTCTTTTTCCAGAGTGTCCCATTAGAAAACCCTTAGAGAATCATTATTTCTAACTTTTTAGAGAGAGACTAATAAGTATGGTGAGTATGGGAGGTCAAGGGAGACGTCTCTTGGTTGCCTTTTTCAGGAGGGACCTGAATTTAGTGACCGCCAGGATTAGAAGTAGAAGTAGGACATTCCAGGCAGATAGAACATCATCGCCCTGAGGCTAGAACAATGTATTGATGGAAGAGCAGGGTCTCTGTGGCTAAGTGTTTTTAGCAAGAGCGTAAGGTAGTAACATCGAGGTGGGCAGGGCCAGATCAGGTAGGATGATGTAACACACAGAATCTGCTCAGCCGACTTGATGGAGAAGGATCATTCATGGGGGTACCAAGCCATGGCTCTTTTTTTTAAAAAGTTACCTGTGATCTAAAAGGATGAAGTGAGGGGTGCCTGGGTGGCTCAGTTGTTAAGCGTCTGCCTTTGGCTCAGGTCGCGATCCCAGGGTCCTGGGATCGAGCCCCGCATCGGGCTCCCTGCTCCGTGGGAAGCCTGCTTCTCCCTCTCCCACTCCCCCTGCTTGTGTCCCCTCTCTCGCTGTGTCTCTCTCTGTCAAATAAATAAATAAAATCTTTTAAATAAATAAATAAATAAAAATAAAAGGATGAAGTGAATGTGATGTGGTGAGGAAAACAGTGGGTAGCAATCATGAAAACTAGGAGATCTGGACGGCTCATTCAATCTCTTTGAACCTCAGTTTCCTTCTTTGTTAGGACAGCAGTAGGGCCAGCCTGGCCTCACCGGAGTTGTGAAAATTGAAAGAGAGAGCAGGGAAAAGACTACAAAATGTGGAGGGTTGCAACCACGTAAGGGGTTGTTCTCCTGGATGTCTTCCTATTGCAATTACCACTAGGACTGCAAAATAGTCCTAGGGCTGACCCTATATGTTTAGGTTTCTAAAGGATTTCATAGAGTATGATTGTTGGACTGAGAACAGAAGTTATAAATTCGGCAGAGCTGCATTTAAGAAGTTTGCCTTACCACAGGCTTAAAAGAGCACCGAGGCGGGGCGCCTGGGTGGCTCAGTCGTTAAGCGTCTGCCTTTGGCTCAGGTCATGATCCCGGGGTCCTGGGATCGAGCCCCACATCGGGCTCCCTGCTCAGCGGGAAGCCTGCTTCTCCCTCTCCCACTCCCCCTGCTTGTGTTCCTGCTCTCGCTGTCTCTCTCTCTGTCAAATAAATAAATAAAATCTTTAGAAAGAAAAAAAAAAAAGAGCACCGAGGCACAGTCCAGAGGCTCCAGCTGAAACTCCAGGAGCTCAAGAATGCACGTGTGCACTTGAGCGTACTAACATATGCATGCAGGCGCATGCACCCGCACACATAGTGATTTCCAGCATCTGGGGGCAGGGAAGGGATGGTTTATTAATTGTCTCTGAGAGACACCCCTTCTGAAGAGCTCACAGCATGTGTGAGTCACTACCTCAAAAACCCTTAAAACCTACTACAGTATAAGGGAGTACAATTATTCCTGACCTGTAAGGACAGAGTAAGAAAACTTGTTCAAACCTGTGATTATGTTCCAGGGCTCTGCTGTTTAACCCTCCTCTAAGGGAACCATGCTTATTTTTCTCCCCAGCCTATACTGTCATTTAGATGCATAATCTCAGTTTTATTTTTTAAATAGGATTTGGGATTGTTTCTTACATCAAGGTTTTCCTCTAGTGCAACACCTCCCCCTCCCCCCGCAACACACAGAGCTTCCAATCTCAGAGGAAAAGACCAGAGTTTATA